CTTCCTTTAAGCGTCTACATACCTACTGTATTGGTTCTGAGGAAGATGGAACATGAGTCGGGGGATAGTGTTTAAACAAAGCTTCAGTTCTAGACCTGTGTACCAGACTGAAATAGTATTTTAAACTCCTAAATGTTTGCTGTTATAGATGCTCACTGTGCCTCACTCCTAGCATGTGTCCCTTGTATTGTCTAGGTCACTTCACAGACTTCCTTTGGGCCACACAGTCAGTTTTTGCACAAGCTGAGGAAGACGTGGCTGTCTTTGAAGTATAAACAGATGGAACTATTTTCAAGCACTTCAAAGAGTGCATTTGAACTTTTATGTATACACCTTTTGTAGTGAAGAAGCTTATGGCTGGATCGTTTTGGAGTACCATACTCGCATCTAAAATTGGAGTTTTTTAGAAATGCCATCATGTTACAGCAAAACACAAGATGACCCCATAAAGGTTATATTTGTCACGCCCTGCTGTGAGACCTGTTCATCAATCCCACTTCCTGTTTTATTTTGGAGTCAAATCTCCTGCTTCAGCTCTGTTTCCTGTTCCTCATCACTCTGATTTCTCTCAGCTGTTCTTGTGTGTATTTAACCAGCTTCTGTTCTCTTTCAGTCGCCAGTTTGTTAGTTTTCATTCTCTAGTTCCAGCCAAGCATTAACTGATCTCTGGGTCCTTTTACTCCGTTCTGTGTTTTGATCGTTTTTTGATCCTTAGTTAAAGAAGCCTTTGCCTAAAGAAAAGCCTTGTTTTGCCAAACCTTACATGTGATTCCAGTCCTTCATACCAGCCCTGACAATATTATTGTGAAAGTTAACACCTAACTTTTGTTCGTGAAAGTCCAGTGTGCTGACAAAAGTTAGACGTTGTATTCACTAAATCCATAAAAATAGTTGAGATATCGACCCCTTGATCCATGAGTAGTCACCCACTTAGCCCTCGCTCCCAGCTTCTGGCTGAGGGACGACACCTCCCTGTTAACCACTGTTTAGCTAAAAAAGATCAAATCTTTCAGCATGGTTAACACTAACAGCACTGTAACCTGCACAAACAGACAAAATAAGGACAGTAACATAAAATGTCAGATTCCCAGCTGATAAAACACAACAATGTATAAAGAGATTTCTGGTGGATGATCCATCAAAACAAGGAAGCCAAAGTCTCATGACGGGATAAAAAAAAGTCAAGTTTCTGCACCACGTGTCCAGACACGAACAGGTTGTAGACATCTAATGACTTTTATAGATGCACAGCTGCGGGAGACAAGTATGGGAGACAAGGAGTCGGGGGAGGAGAACCCTCTGAGCAGAAGCTGCGAGACGAGGAGAGATGCCCTGCAGATCAGTCCTTAGGCAGAAACTGTGTGAAACTGACAACACCGGTGTTGTGTTTAGTTCTGTGTGACCCGCAGTAATGATCTTGTTACAATAATTACACAAAATGTGTTGTGTAGTTGGAGCAGGCAGCCACTGTGGTTCATTTGTGTTGATGTTTGAAAACAAAAGTTCAACTGATTGCTGTAATTTAGATATGAGGTTAGTGAAGGAAATGATCAATCATTGTCACACCCCTTACATATATCTGCAAACTGTCGTTCTGTACTGGTGTTTTCCCAAGTAAAATGATAACAGCAAAAGTAATCCCTATTTATAAAAATGGAAGTAAACACTTATTAGAATTATTAAACGTATTATTAAATAATAGACCTATTTCGCTTCCCTCACAATTTTCTAAAATTTTAGAAAAATGGTTTGTCACTGGACTTGATGATTTTGTAAAAAAAAAATTCAACTTGTTGAATGAACAAAAGTTTGGTTTCCGATCAAACAGATCCACTCTGATGGCAGTAATGGCCTTAATTGAAGATATTACAACTGCAGCGGAAGAAAATAAATATACCTTGGGTGTCTTCATTGACCTAAGTAAGGCCTTTGACGTCATAGATCATGCACTTCTTCAAAAGTTACAAAGATATGATATTCGTGGCACAGCTTATGCTTGGGTGGCAAGCTACCTTAGTGAAAGAGACCAGTTTGTGCATATCAATAATGTTGATTCAAGAAAGGAGTTCATTACTCATGGAATCCCACAAGCAGGGTCCGAAATTAACACTCGCCACTCGCCAAATGAGAGTAAATTGCTCCATTTGGCGAGTAAATTTTTGAGCTCTATCTGCCACCTGGCGAGTAAATATTTGCACCAAATTAGTTATGTTTATCAGTCATCTTCCATGGATTTCTGAAACTCCTCCCGCCTGCATGCAACGTACACAAACGTACTCGAAATGTGAGCGCCGCATCCAACCTCATTTTCACCTATCCCATTCAATCAGTTTATCAAGTTAGCAGTTAGCTTTGTGTTAAAACTAGCGGTGAAATGTGGCGGTTTTTAACTGGAGTCAGCCAGCCTTCCAAAGAAAAACTCATCGAACTGGAAGAAAAACCACCAGGACCAGTGGCAACCAGAAGATTTTGTGAAGAGTGGCGAACCGGAGATGGCGGAGTCGTGAGACAATGGCTACATCATGATGGCCACGTAGCGTTGCTGCCTTTCACAGACAACTGGCCCTCGGCATTCTTCAAATATCCAAAAAATGCCCGTACTTCCGACTTTGTCTTCTTTGAGGGATAATAAATGTCCCAAGTGCTGCCGTCTCCTCCTTTGGCCATTATTTCAGCTTTAGCTGAAAGAAAGTTTTGATCGTAAACAACAAAGTGCGCATGTGCCGCCGGCTACTTCAGCAGATGATACGGTGGCTGGTAAGGGTCACCGCGCCTACACCGCAGCCACGGTAATCCACCGAGATAATATATCTTTTAAAAAACAAGACGGTTATTATTATTGTCAACTTTTTCACCGGGGTTTACCGCTACTCCGGTTACCATGACAACCCTAGCCCTGACACACTTTCAGATATTCTCATGGTGCAGCTGTGTTCTCCAGATATCAAGGACTAGGACCCAAATGAGGCTGTAATGCTTTGGCACAAAGACGGCGTCAGAAGCAGGAGGCCAGACTTCATGGACAGAGAAAACAAGGAGTCTGACTAGATTTCAATGAAAGAGTTCATGAAAACATCTCTAAAAATAAATAAATAAATAGTAAAAATGACAAAAGAGTTGTTTTCCTTATTAATTGATGTTTTAATTATTTTGTCACTCTGTTTGGAATCAACATAATATAGAATAACATGCTTTAGGTAGATCTAAATCATTTAGAATTTTGGCCGGTAAAAAATATGCTTGGCCGGTAGCTTTTCATCATCTACCAGCCAACTTGGCCGGTGAGTAAAAAATTTAATTTCGGACCCTGCCCACAAGGGTCTATTTTGGGACCTAAATTATTCATAATGTATATTAATGATGTGCGTGCAGTTCTAGATAAAGTAAATTGTTTGTTGTATGCAGATGACACCAGCCTTTATTGTTCTGGTGACGACCTAAGCAAGCTTGTTGATTTAGTTGAAAAAGAACTGGCAGTGTTAAAAGGATGGTTTGACAGGATACATTATATTTGGAAACAGGAAAATTAATAATGAAATTATTATAAAAATAAATGGTATTGAAATTGAACAAGTACACACATATACATTTTTAGGAATTACTATAGATGGAAAACTGAGTTGGAAGCCTCATATAGATGATATAAAGTTAAAAAATATCAAAAAATATAGGACTTATGAGTAGAATGAGATTTGTTTTGGATATTGAATCCCTTCAGATACTCTACAACTCATTTATTTTACTATATCTGAGCTGTGGTGTTGAAATATGGGGAAATAATTACAGAGCAAATATTTATCCTATATATTTACTTCAAAAAAATGTAGTTTGAATAATTTCCCGTGCTAATTATTATGCACCAGCAAATCCTATCATTATCCATTTAAAAATTCAAAAATTTTATGATATAATTGACCAGCATACATTGGCTGTAGTATATCAGGCATATCAGGCTCATCTTCCGCCTTATCTCCAAAGGATGTTTGAACAAAGGGAAGGAGGATATAGTCTAAGAGGAACTGGGATTTAAAAAAAAAAAATATATATATATATATTAGAACCAATAAAAAAAAGATGTACCTCAGTAAGAGGAGTTAGTTTATGGAATAGCCTCGAGGATAGATTAAAAAATCCATGCTCGTTGAAAATATTCAAAAAGAGTTTTAAAAATAACGCCTTACGCAATTACCAAATACACCAAAATTAGTTTCGTCACACATTTATACCTCTTGACTGATTTTGTTGAAATTAGGATGATGCATGTAATAACTGTATTGTTTATGTTTATTTACTTTTGATAATTATGACACTGTTGATTTTTTGTAATGAATTCATGGGTAGGCTTAAATAAGTTTTACTTCAGCCTATATACCTTTTCATTCATAAATTATATCTAAAGAAACTGTTTAATTTAGAAGAGGAAGTTGTACTTGTGATAATTATTGTTATGATCTTCATTAGATAATTATTTTCCTTTTCATGTATTTTATATGTATTGTTATGACGGAAAAATAAATACAAATACAAAATGTGTGCGTGTCTGTGTGTGTGTGTGTGTTTAGAGTTGATTCCGACAATTTTTTTTATATTATTCAATCTGCACCCCATGTAAGCTTTCCTGATCATTTGTTGGCATTTAAATGCTTCTGACTCAGTTATTAGTATTTCGAGAATAAACAAATGTGCAAAATCTGCATCATGCAAGTACCATCAGAGACATAAGCTGAAAGACTCGCAATGACATTTTAGCTGCAATATTTGTTTAGACGGTCAGAAAATTAAGATGATAACAAAGATAATAAAAACAGAAATAGATGAACAAAATCTTGCTTTTATACACACAAACTAGCGTTAGCATCACAGCAAAGCTAGAAGTTAAATACACTAAATAATAACAAAGCATCACATCCTCTAAACGATTCCTGTCACAGTTCTACTTAGTCTTTACTAACAAGTTAGCACTGGAGGAACATTTAGAGTAGAGTCTGGAAATCACTTACTCATTGAACTCTGCTGGCGAGGTGAACTTGTACTTGGCGTATGAGGAGCCGTTACCAATGACAGAATCAGTGATGCTTTTGTGCGACGTGCAGTTGGGACTGTTCCAGTAGTTGTCACATGTGAGCCAAGGCAGCTCACTGGTCATGGAGGAGAACAGGTAGTAGAGGGACCAGGCGATGATGACGTTGTAGTAAAAGCCAACATACAGGGCTATGATGATCACAGCGTAACCCACACCTGAGAAATACAGGCATGTTGTTAAAACTTTGCTCTACTCGTGTATGTTTTCAGTTTTTCTTTCATCTTTATCAAAATGAAATTAAAGCCAATTTTCTGTTCATAGTAATTAATAGACATCGGGGCAGTTCCACTGGATTGGCAAACGGTGGTGGTTCCTACTTATAAAGGGAAATCGCAGGGTGTGTTTCAACAACAGGAGGATCACACTAAGCCTCCCTGGTAAGGACTATTCATGGCTTCAATGGAGAGGAAGTTCTGTCGGATAGTAAAACTTTGGATTCAGGGAGAAAATGTGGTCTGACCCTGGCCATGGGACACTGGACCAGCTCCATCCAGCAGGAAGTAATATAGTAATATAGCAGTAAGTCGGACTTGTTCCTGGTGAGAGTTGGACTCCACCAAGGCTGATTTTTTTATAAAAATTCTAGGGATGTCTAGGGATGTCCAGATCCGATCACATGATTGGAAATTGTTCCCAATCACGTGGTTTCAGACTTGATCGGGATCAGACAGTACCTCCCAATCTGGACTCAAAAACAGGGTCAGAATGACGGGAGAGCAAAGGGGAACCCGGTTCTCCTGAAAGGGTGACGGGTTCCTCTGAAGCCTTCAACCTAAACACCTTTAGGGAGCACGAATCCTGTTTCTACCCAAATGCTATTATTTATATGGATTCTCAGCATACCAGGGATTCTTTGAGGGGGAGGCAGAGAGTTTATATATGATGAACACATGATTGTTCATGTTTGCAATTTTTGTCTTTTACTCGTAGCCGACGCGCATCGCTCCAGCAGAGCTCATCACCCGTGCTTCGGTGACTTAACCTCACTTGTGTGGCCACGCAGTGCCTACTCTGCTATTTTTGCAGTAAATGGATGCCTTTGATAGGCTTAGTTCAAAAGAAACTCATGAGGTGTTAAAGTAGGAAGTCAGACGGCAGTTTTCCTGGAGGATTGAGAGGAGATGCAGGAAGATCAGAGACAGACAGGACAGGAAAATAGTCACATAAAAACCAAGAAAACAAAACAAAATGCTTGAAAAGCAAAAGATAGGTAGATTTATCCCACTACACCTGTTTACCTGTTATAAAGCAATCATTTGTAAGTGTGTGATATCTATATATGTGATACAACTCAGATCAACTTATTTGGGGCCAAGGCAAAATGGATCCCCAACAGGTACTTTAGGATGAGGTGCTATTTTATATTAGACTTTTTTAATATTTTCTGTTTCACTAAAGTCCAAAAGTGAGGAGTTTCTGTTATTTATCACTTGATTGGTCAGGCTACCTCAGAGTGATCTGTTTGTTAACGGAGTTGTTAAATGTTAAAATAAAATTATTAAATACAAAGAATAAGGGACATCCTAGATCTGTCTCTTTGCTTTCTTAATTCTTTCTTTATGTATCCAAAGTATTTGATCGAGACTCGGTATCGGCAGATTCTCAAAATTAAGTGACTCAGACTCTAGGGCAAAAGACCCTGATTCAACCCTGATTGGAAATCCCTAACAAATCCTCTTCATAACCTTTCTGGAGAGGATTTCTGGGTACAGCCAAGGTGTTGAAGGGATCCGTTTTGGTGGCCTAAGGATCAAGATTCTGCTTTTTGCAGATGATGTGATCTTGCTGGCTTCATCGAACCATGAGCTCCAACTTTTGCTGGAGTGGCTCACAGCCATGAGTGAAGCAGCTGGGATGAGAATTAGCTCCTCTAAATCTGAGACAATGGTCTTGAAAAGGGTAGAATGCCTTATCCGGGTCAGGGACGACTTCCTGCCTCAAGTGGAGGAGTTAAGTGTTAATAAAACGTGGAGAATGTGCACAAAACCAAACCGCATCACAGGCATGTGTCATTTTGTCTCACTGTATCACCATTAAGGTCTGAGCAGAGGGTGCATGCACTAAAACTCTCATCTGACTAACATTTCAAAAGCTGAAATAGTGTTCATTGGCATGGATCCACGAGACCTTCATCCTGACCTGCTTGTGGGGCATGAAGTTTTGGAACTATCTCTGCTGGAATGTGATGTCTTCATGTGAAACAGAGAAGCCCATAAACCCTTCACCCTCTCATTCTAAGTGGGAAAATAACAGACCCGCCTTAGTGCCGAAGCCAACAAAAGCAGTGAGTGTTGCAACTTATCTGACGTTACCTGAAAGTTGGTGTTGTTCTGTTGCCTGAAGTGTACTTACACAGGTCAGTGGTGTAGGTTATAAACTGCAGAACGTATTTTGTAATGGGCCAAGATTTTCTAATTATAAGTGCAATGGTTGGTTTTCTGATGCACTGACCGCACGTGCCTAAGGTTGTTGAACACTGTCTTGGGTTGGACTTGTTTTATTAATTTAACTGGAACAAAATGTGTGCAAACAAATAAAATAAAATTGATGGAACAACAGCTGTGACAGTTTTTGGTCAAATTGCTATATGGGTGTCTGAGGGAGGAGGTAAAGGATGAAATTAAAGGGTGAGATGTTGAAAGGCCTGAAGAGGACGTGGTGATCTTCTGGTAGCATATTTTAAAGTTGGCAGGTCTGCGGGATTGCATGCAGAACGCTGAGGATTCGTGTGTTTGTGTGTTACAATCACCTTTAAAAAATGGACAAATTTTCCAGACTGTTGCTGCTCCTTCTCGGTGGTACTGTCCCAAGGCAAGTTCCATATAGAACAATGGCATCCCCGCAATTACCAAGAAAAGGGTATATGGGATCAAGAAGGCACCTGTGAAGACAGACATGATAATTCTCTCTTCTTTCCTAAAGAAAAAATAACATTTTATGACACTGACACAAGCGCTGGTCGGATAAACAAAAGGGAAACAGGAGTGGCAGGAGGGGTTTGACATTCTTGGAAAAATAACAAATTACAGCGTGCTAGTGGGGAGGCTCAGAGCTGTTTTCACGCTGTGCTTTCAAAGCACACGCACCAACGAGGAAACCGCCTCTTGTAATTAAATTGATCTTGACGTTGTCTATCACAAATGACGCATGAGCTGCAGTAATAATGACTAATTCTTGCTGAGGGCCAGTGTGTTTGACAGGCCGCACCGGGGCTGGCCACTGACAGGAGAGACGATTGATCAAATGCAAAAGCAAACTAGAGTCCAGAGGGCGGCACAGCTTCCCATGAAGATATGTTTTCCTGGTTCAGCTCCACCCAGCTGAGCTCCGACACACAGCTCAGAAACACAGACAAATCACTGCGATGGAGATTTTCAACAGCATAATGAATTCCAGGGCTTTATGAGTCATCAGAAGATAGAGCAGAACAGATACGGGTCAGTTTCGGGCTCCTTGACCCGAGCATGCTTCAATAGCAGATGGACTTTCTTCATCATGCAGACCAGGATTTTTTAAATAGCAAAGCTTGAGAATCGCCTCAGAAATGACTTAATTTTCAAAGAGCTTGACTTCAAGTTTGAAAATTTGAAATAAAAAAAGTATTTCATACATGAAACACATCGGTTTTTGAATGAAAGATGGTTTTCTTTTAAAAACAGAACTAAAAGAGAGCAAATAAACTAACAGCGAAACCGAAGTTCACACTAAACAATCTACACTTTGCAAAAAGTGTTACTTTTCATGAATTCTCCTAAAAAAACAAGAGTTGGAGGCTGCAGTTGAGCTGTGGATGATGTCATGAATAAACAAACCAAAGAAAATTGGGTTTTCTTTCATCAAAGTTGAATGCATTTCCCCCTTTTACCCACCTGGGACTATTGGGGGAAGTTAAAGGAGCTAAAATTAGAACAACAATAATTATCTCCTCCAAACTTCTAAATCCAAAAAGAATCGGTGCTGTAATAACTCTGTGGGGCATTTTTTAAACTTTTTTCTAATTAGGCTCCATCTTCATTAGAAACGTTCAAAAATAAAACTAAATCAAATACTTCATATTTTCTTCAAACAGTGAAAACACATTTGCTCTACAAACAAGGTTAGACTTTTTATTCATATGTTGATTTAAACATTTGGCAATAATATAAATTTTAATAACATTTTACGTTTTTAAACAAATGTATTAACAACAAAAACTACTGCTTGGTACCCACCTCCACCATTTTTGTAGCACAAGTAAGGGAATCTCCAAACATTGGCCAGATCCACCGCGAAGCCAATGACTGACAGGAGAAAGTCTATTTTCTTGCCCCAAGTTTCCCGGTCGTCCTCTGGGGCTGTTCCTTGCAAACCTGCGCGGAGCCCGGGGGTGGGGATGATTGAGGTACTGGTATACTGGACGCCGTTCTGGTCCTTCACCAAAATAAGTTCCACCTCCTTTTTCTCCACATTGCACTGTTTCAGCGGGGCGACAGACGAGAGCTTGTGCTCTGGAAGGACCTGGATGTTCATCTTCTCTGCGATGCGTGCGAAGCCCGCGCCGGCGCGTTGCTCTCACTGCCCCCTGCGGGTTCTGGCAGAGCTGGTGGTCTGAGTGGCTCCGCTGAGTTTGGACTCGCTGCTCCGCGGACAGAAATCCAACAGGCAAGTGCTCTCCACCGCAGCTACAGGTGATGCCTCTGCGCACATCGGCTGCAGAGAGGAGGAAAGAGTTTGGAGAGGTTAGAGGTCTGTGCGTAAAGTTCCGTTGAGGAAAGCTATAGGTTATAACTACAAGAGATGGAGAAAATATATTTGCTTCCTCCAGCAGACAGACTCAATATCTGTGTGTTTTCCTTAAATAAAACATATCTGATGCACCGAAAGCGTCAAGTCAAACATGCCGCCACGTGCTCGTGGTTCGCAGAACTGTCGAAGGCTTAAATCACCGGACATGCACTCTGAATTACGAATACAAAGCTATTTGAATATGATTCAGGTGTTAAATGAGCAGAAAGCTGCAGCAGAAAGTCCATGCCGTACTGGGTAAAGTTAGGGACACCTCTCCATGACCGGATGCTGCTGTGGTCCGGATGCGTCTGAGGGAAGACTTCCCATCCTGAAGCAACTTTGAGTCTCAGGCAGAGGATTAAAAAGCCACTTGATAAATCATCTCTCTCTCTCTCTCTCTCTCTCTCTCTCTCTCTCTCTCTCTCTCTCTCTCTCTCTCTCTCTCTCTCTCTCTCTCTCTCTCTCTCTCTCTCTCTCTCTCTCTCTCTCTCTCTCTCTCTCTCTCTCTCTCTCACTTGATATTTTATAACTGGAGCTTACTTTTCCTTTGATTTGGACTTGGCTTGATGAACTCAGGCCCAACTGCTGCATAACGACTCCACACATAATAAACCGTCATACATAAGGGCCATTCCGTTTCATTTAAACATTTTTATAAAAACCAAAGTGAACCTTGTTTGTCCTCGTGTAAAATGCCATGAACAGTTTAAACAGTTCTGTACGTGCTTTGATGAATGAAACAACCAACGGACCAAATATGCAAGTTCCTATAAGGTGAATATATTCCATGCAAACCAAAGTTTTTTCAATGTTTTAATTTGAACTTATCTGTTTCTTTTCTATACTAAACAGATTGAATTACAGTTTTCTAAGAAGCCGTAAAAGCTTTGTGTTCCAAGTGTAATTCGATTCCACAGCAGCTTTGGCCAGGGGCAATGATTTCTATTAGATATGGTTGATCAGTTCATCCCATTAAAGTCAATGAATGTCCTTTTTGCTTTCCAGTGCTTGCTTTATAAAGCCATAATAGGGCTGTGTTTGGACAGTTTTTGTTTGTGAAGATTGAACAAACACCATGAAGGACCAGGTAACAAGAAAGGCTGGTCAGTTATCACTCTTGTTTTCTCCTAAATTAGTCATATTTTCCTGCAATATCTCATTATGAAGGATATTTTAAAATATCCGAGCAAATCTTTTTTTTTTTTTTTTTGTTCTTTAAAATGGTCTTTATGTACCTGGACCGGGTCTAGACCTGTCTATCCATCCATGCAGAGTTCCTCTATATGGCACTGATTTGTAAAGTAACAGCTCTGTTTTTGTTACAGTTAGCTCTTCATAACAATGTTTTGGGGTGTGAATTAGTTTTACTTGAATATAATCAATTATCTTGAGTAGATGGACCTCAAAATTTTAAAATAGTTTTTTGAGCTCAAATTTGTTGAGTTAGTTCAGCCTTTTCCTTGTTTTAAGTACATAGAACTGATACTTTTTAATTTATCTGAACTATTTCCTTTTTTTAATAAGCATAACCTACATGAATTAATAAAGAACAACTTAGCTGGAATGACTAATCTCAACTGAAATGTGATTTATTTATAATTTTTTGTTTCTATTTTATTCTGTTCATCTTTACGTCACCTTAAAGCGTGTTTGGTAAACAGACTTGTATATTTTTAGAACTATTTGTGGATCTATAGGAAAAACAACCTAGGACAAGCAATTTTGGTGGGTTTCAAGAACAATAAACAACTGGTGGGTGAGGTGCATTGTTGGTAGTCATGTTTGTAGTTATTTTGTTCTATTTGAGGGTGTTTATGTTTATTGTGGGGAGTTGTATTGTTCTTAGTTATTACTTTGTTCAGTGTTGCAAATGTGGTGTTACTTGCATCACCATAAGTGCGGAGGTTGGCTAAGGGAATGACCACGCTGTGACGTCCCTCTGTTATTAAGGATTTGGTGGTTCATGCCAGGATCTCTGGACTTGGCTTTGGGTTCTCACAGATTGCCATGGGTGTGTGAGGCATTCAGTGTTGGTGTTAGCTACCCTCACTCTTCACCTGCCTGCCACATTGCTTTATAAAGTAAATTCTACTTATCTGGGTTAACAGTGGCATAGTTAAAGATTTCAAGTATTTTACGCTTGATTTAATTTAGTACTAAAAACTAAGAATGTAAAGTAGAGAATGCCCCCAAAATATGTGTGAAATAATGAAATATATATTCACTTTACTTAAAACTATTAATCTAAAGCAGCTAAATAAGCTGTGGCTTTTTTCAACTATTTTTGAGTTTCATTCACTTAATCAGTTTCACCAAAAAAATTGAGTTATATCAACTTATTGGGTTTTACAGTGAATTACATCGTTGTCTACATGTTTCGACAAATTTAAAAGTTAATGTTTAAAATAAATATTTAGAACGAAATCTAAGTATAAAGAATTCCTTGAAATGTTCCAATTTTTTGTTTAGTTTATTTCAAACAAAGAAAATATACATAATTTAAAAAAAAAACAAAAACAGAAGAAATACAAGTCATCGCCCCTTTTTTCTTCTGTCTGAAAAGGAGTAGGCTGAAGTCGAAACTTATATGTCCCTACCCCTTTATACAAGTCATTTTTCTTGTTTACTAAATGTAACACAAAATCTACATTAAAACAAACAAAATGGTACAAGTCACCCAAAAAACACCAAACCATATGGAAAAAAAGAAAAAAAAGAAAAGAAAAAAAAACATATTTTTACAACTGATGCTCATATTTAATTTTCCTTAGAATAAAGGACACCCACATAAATCATCTATTTTCCACTCTATACTTTTTTAGAATGTTTTTTATAATTCATTTTAAACACATTTATATTTGTACTTACTTTGATTTCTTCTTCTAAATTATTCCATAATTGAACCCCTATTATTGTGATACACATCTGTTTTAATGTTGTTCTAAACTTATGGATCTTTACGTTTAGTGTCCCTCTCAGATTATATCCTCATTCTCTCTCCGTGAACAGTTTCTGTATTTTATCAGGCATTAATTTATTTCTTACTTTATACATTATTTACTACTACTACTACTTTATACAGCAGTGAGGTGCTAGCCTCACTAGCAGTGAGGTGCTAGCCTCACTGCTAGTGAGGCTAGCACCAACAGCTAGCATTTTTAAATCACGCCTGAAAACTCACTACTTCAACCTAGCTTATACAACATAATTATGAACCTCACTAACATCTGCATTGTTTAAAAACTGTCTCCACAATTATCGACTTCCGTATTATTGAGGTTCTTTGTAAAATGTTTTTTTTTCCTATTTTTACTTCACCCTGTGTCTTAATGATTTTTAGCTGTTATTTTTGGGAATTTTCTTGTATTTCCTTTTTATCTTTTATCTGTGTTCGACATGTTTATATAATGCCAGTTTAATTAACCAACATTTTTAGTGTACAGCGCCTTGTTTGGTTGTAATGCCTTGTGAATGCGCTTTATAAATAAAATTGGATTGGATTGGATTATTTGTGCTGTTTTGTATTTAACCAAGTCCTGGAACTTCATTGTCCGTGTTCTAATAAAAAGTTCATTTGTGTGATCCAAATATCCTGAATTTGTTATTAATCTGATAGCCCTTTTCTGCATTGTTGTTATTGTAAATTACTTTTGTACACATTTCCCCAGACCTCTACACAATAGCTCAAATATGGCAGTAGCATCGTATTGTATAACATATAAAGTGCTTTCTGATTAAAAATATACTTAGCTTTCCCCAATATAGCAATGCCCCGTGCAAGCTTCCCCCTAACATATTTGATGTGTGGCTTCCAACAGATCCTGCTGTCTATGACCACCCCAAGAAATTTTATTTCATATACTCTTTCAATTTTTACATTATTAATTACAATATCTAATTCATTGTATATGCTTTCATTTCCAAACAACATAAATTTTGTTTTCTCTAAATTTAGTGACAGTTTATTTACATCAAACCATTTTTTTTCCCTCTGTGACCACATCCAGGACCTGTTGCAATTCCACACCTGAGCAAAAAACATTTGTGTCATCTGCAAACAATACAAACGTCAATACTTGTGAAACCCTACAAATGTCATTATGAACAGTTTAGGTCCTAAGACTGATCCTTGAGGTACCCCACATTGTATCTCTCTTAGTCCTGATTTATGTTGATTTATTTGCACATATTGTTGTCTATTTGATAAATAACTTTTTATCCAGTCCAATACTATACCCCTGAAACCACATTTTCCCATTTTTCTCATCAATACGTCATGGTTTACTGTATCGAAAGCTTTCTTCAGATCTAAAAACAACCCTATTGCATGCTTTTTTTTTTGTCAATGCATTCTGTTATTTCTTCAATAAGATCAATCAGTGCCTGGACTGTTGACCTATTATTCCTGAAGCCATACCGGCTTTCCGTCAGCAACTCATATTGATCAACAAAATTATTGAATCTTTTAACAAAAAGCTTTTCTAATATTTTGGAAAATTATGATAGTATTGACACAGGTCAATAATTTGTAAATTGATGCTTATCTCCTGGCTTGTAAATAGGAATTACCCTTGCTACTTTCATGTTTCAGAAAAAAACCCTTTTGAAAAGAAAGATTACAAATGTGTGTTAATGGTTTTACAATGCCCTCAATCACACATGTCAGTGTTTTCATGCCAATATCATTCCAGTCCGTACTGGTTTTATTCTTCAGATTTCTCACTATATCATAAATCTCCTTCTCATCAACTGCTCTTAAAAAAACAGAATTGTTATTTCTTTCAACACACTCTGTGGCATCCGTTTGTATCTCATCAACTATTATTTGTTCCTCCAATTTAGATCCTATGCTTACAAAATATTTGCTGAATTCATCCACTGCTTCATTCATGTTTGTAATATTATTTTTTCTCTCTATAAAATGTGGTTTATAGTTATTATTCCCTATCTCTTTCCTAATTACACCATTTAATACTTTCCAGATGCCTTTTATGTTGTTTCTATTGTGCTCTAACTTGTTAATAAAATATTCACGTTTACAGTTTCTCACTATATTTATGAGTTTGTTTTGTCAACATGTTGCAATTTTAAGCTAAATATTGAGCTAACATGCTAATTCTAAGTATCGTAGATAATCCGTAGCAGAAGGCAAAATTATTTTTGATCTGCATGTTGGTCTAGTCGCGAACCCCAGCAGGCCCGAAGAGTTGTGTGACTTGCCAGTCAAAATGCTGAGCGTTTGAAGGCGGGATGATGTGACTGAGCGAAACAACAAAGATGGCAGAAAGAAAAATAAAGAAAACTATATTTTATACGGTGCCTCTCAAGATAAAAATCATGAGGCACGTCAAGAAAACAAAAAATTT